GTGACACACAGGGATTCGGCGGCCCCCTCTAACGCCATGGTGGAGGCGGGAAAGAAACCGAGAAAGTTAGCGATCGACATCAAGGGAGTGTCGAGAGACGGACACACAAGTTCCTGGCTGCTCGGCTGTATCCCCAGTTCTCCCTCGCTGTGAGTGTCTGTTCCTTTTTCCGGTCGACGGGACACGCGCCGGCGATCCTTCCAGCTCATCCTTTGTCCTGGCGCTCGTAAATCCTTCGAGGAGCGCAACAGAGAAAAACAGAGAGAGAGAGGGAGAGAAAGACACTCGAGGACTTGTACCAGCGTTAACCCTTTTATTCTTAAATTATTTAACATTAGAGCAGTGTTGCATCGAAATAAAAATATTCAAGTAAAAATGGTTTGGGGGGACTAAATTGTCCAATTCTGGCGGGTTTTTATAGCTGTTTAGGGGGATAATTTTTCCATATCTGACACTGCACTAGAGCTACCAAACCAGTCAAAATGACTGGTCAGTACACTCTTACAAGGACGATTAAAATGTTATGAGAATACCTTTTATTACGATATGAGAGTGAAGAAATTGGTCAATTTCTAAATTTTCAAAGGTTTTCCACGTTTACCCAGTGATCGAAGCAAATATGCGTGTATCGTTGGTAGTTCTAGTGTTAAAAAGTACCAAAGAAATATTTTGTTTTTTTTTTCTGTATATTAGATGACATATAAATAATTCACAAGAACATTTTAAAATTAATTTAGAGTATGTAGTCATATAGCAACAGTGGGAACGAAAGGGTTAATTGCTCGCAGCAACCAGGCGTCCGTTTAGTGGCCGTATTTACGAGGACACAGAGTAGTAAAACCGACAGGAATGAACTTTTGCAACGAAATTTCCTTTCCTCCTCTTGCTCGGTTGTTCAGTGTAATTTTTCTCAGCGGAATTAGACAGGGACCCTCTTAATAAGCATTTCTTTGTTGTCCCCTCCGTACATGTCGTTAGCTGAACAATCTCTCCTGGCTCGAGACAGAGAGTCTTTATTCTTTACGTCTTTCTCGGAACTTATCGACTACTACTGTCCCTCGGAACTTTCACGAGAGTTCGCGAAAGGGGCGAACTTCCGACACCATCGGTTCTCCGTCGACCGTTTATCACCGCGGGCGGGGAACAAGCACCTCTTAAACCGTGAAAAGAGTTATAAGCAGCCATTGTGGTGGGGAATTTTTTCGATTGGTTCGACCATCACGGAAATCGTATGGGGCCGTTTCGAACGTCGATGGGTTACCACACGTACAACGACGAACGTAACAGATTGCTTTACCGTCGGTCGCGACACGGGGATCAAAGAGGGGAAGAAGAGAATCCTATGGAGCATTATGACAGGCCGGATTAAGGTGTGGAAAAGAACCCACTGACGACTTAACTCGTCGAACCTTCCAACCGAACATGTTGAGGCTTCGGGTAAGCCTCTCAATGATCGAATCTTTTTTTTTTCTTCTTTCCCTTGGAAAGCAGCGTATTGTGCTCTCGTGGGTCTCTGCTATTGAAGATTCCACGTCGTCGGTACCAGGGCAACACGGGGAAAAGCTGCTGGGCGCGCGGCTGGCGACGAATGGGAAACGAAAGATTAAGACCGATTTTTCCCCGTGGCCATTCAACGGTTATAGCGGGGGTAGGGGCCACCAACGGGGGTATCGTCGTGGGGACACAAAAGCGGAAGCAAACCGAGGCCGATCGTAACGAATTTTACGCGCGTCTATATAACCTGAGCTTTTATCGTCCCGGGACCTATGGCCGCTCGACTGCGCCGTTAAGGTCTAAATAAGAGCGTCCTCTCTCGCTGGTGAGTCCTGGACAGATCCTCCGTTGGTTTCACTTCTCTTCGACCCGATTATACGCGCTCCATCCCCCGTTCTCGCTTCGTTTCTTCTTCTCTTCGAAATTGCTTCCCGTAAATAGGCAGTTCGGTATTTTCAATAAGATTTTCTCTTTCCCCCTGCATCTCCGCTGACGTCTAAATACCAAGCAAATGCAATTGTACGAACTTTGTAGAACAGTTACGAATATTCTATTTATTTCCTTCGAATGGTTCCAGTTAAATAATTTTAATGATTTTAAAATGATCTTAAAATGGTTTTTAAATGTAATCCAGAAGTCTGATTCGAATTGACGTTTATCGAAGCATGTCCGTTTATTCTTCCCACCCTCCTTTAACCACTTTATTATTTTTGTTCGGCGAGTGTGTCGCCGCGGGCCGATTTTTCTATTTACTTTGTACCGTCCGTTATTATTGAATTCCGATAATCCGCGCGACGCCGGCGGATTGTAATCCACCCTATCCGCTCCCGCGCTTTGCCGCGATTTATGCCCTCGTCTACCCTTTTCACCTTTTTTCCCCCACTGTCCCCCAACTTTAGTCTTTTAATCGCGACGACGAAATTATCCGCCATGTTCGTCGACCTTCGCCTCTCCCAGGAATCTCTTCGCACCGTAAAGGATATGAAAAATCGCCCCCGATTAAGTAGATTTCCCCTGTATCGTCCAATATTTGTCGCGATTGGACAAAGGTTATGAGAAAAGACGAGTGGAGGGAACCCGTGGACGTCCAGACAAACGGAATCTCACCGTCTTTGTTTTCCCCGCGGCGGATCGCAAGGATCGTGATTAAACGTCACGTCCACTTTCGTCGCGCAATTTCGAGGCTCGCCGCGGGTCCCCGCCCTTCCGTTCGAACCCGTCACCTACCTTTTCCCTTTGGACGAGCAGTTGCTCGCGAGAAGAGAGACCGTCACCCGATTAAAAGCCCTGGGTTTGGGGGAGTTAATTACGTGTCTCAGGAAATTGTCTCCTCGGCGGTTTTCCGGGGACGAACTCTCTGTCGCCGAAAGGGCACGGAAGGAACAACCTAGGCATTATTGTACTAGGGGTAGGTTCGAAATTAATTTTTAAATTCTCAAAACTCGACTACCGAATTCTTTGATTTCGAAACATTGAAGTCCTGATTCTATTTGGTAAGAAGAATATTTTGTTCCAAGAGCTGGTCTCGAGAAAATTTGTACGTAAATCTTTCTTGACAATAGTTGAACGAAACACGAATGAAAGGGTAACAATATATTCAATTGACATTTCGAGAAATCTACCCCCATACAATACTATCGAAAGTTGAAGTGCTCCAACCCACACGTATCGACCTACACCGCAATCGGTTTCCAGTTTGCAACGGCTGGAAAACATGTCGGACCGATTCAATTGATTTATTCGAGCCGGCCAAACTCTCGAAGCATCTTCGACCATTCTCCGTAGTCGAGATGGATGGATGCGTGGCACTGGGTGGGTCCGTTCGATGCAGCATCGATGGACATACCGAGGAACATCTTCCCTCGCCACGTTCGCGATCCACAGAGATATTCTCAAACACTCCTACGACTTCTCTTTTTCACGAGCTTGTTCGTTCCTCGATCCTCCCGCTCTTCACACGTTCGTGTCGAATTTGCGTGGTTCCACAATGATACGAGAAGCTTCGAGGCTTCAGGTCCTTGCCCTTGAGGTCCTTCGTATCCCTCGATCAAAAATACATTTCTCCTCTGAACCCAGGCGAGATAGATTTTTAATCCAAGGGGATGAACCAGTATTTGGGAAGAAAGTTTCAGATTTTATATTTTAACGGGGTCTTTAGAACCGTGAGAATTGTTGGTTTGATTATCAAATGATATATTTCCCGTTTACGAAGGTAAATCAGAAGAGTCTAGACGACGATTAGAATACAAGGTATTGTGCAGTTCGAAAGTTCAATAACACAAGGGTCTCCTCCTCTTCCCTTGTCTCTTTTTTCCTCATTTCCTCTTTCTTATGATCGATGATCAGCGACCAAGAGGCGGGAACAGCGGACGGGGTAGTGGATATTTACCGTGGTTATAAACGTCCTCGTCTGGAGTGTTCCCTCAACGTCGGGAAATCCTTCCACCTTTTACCACGACCTTAACCTCTCTTCTGTCCTGCCTCGACTCCTCCTTCCACGCACCCCGGTCGCTTCGTTATTCAGCCACCGGTGCTACACCTTGGTCCTCTTTTTTTTTTCTCCTCATTTCCTGTCTGTCCCAGTCCCCTTCCCGCAGGTTTCTTTCCTCCGTTGCCTTCCTCCGTCATTAAAGACGTGACATTTCTCGCGTCCCCTTTTTGCCTCCTCCACGTCCTGTAGGTTCGTTCTATGCTTTATTTTCCTATCGACAACAGCGGAGAGTTTTTCGCGTATTTTCGGTTCCTGAGGTCCGCGACCATTCCTTCGATCCACTCGTAACTTTCATGGTTCTATGTCCTCCTTCTCTCCCCCGTTTTACGCCCTTCGGGAGACGACGTTTCACGAGTCGGTCCCAGGTTGATAGCCGCGTCTTTATATTACGGGGGCCGGAATCTCTGGATGGGCAATTCCGCGTTTAAATTATCGTTCCCCGACGACGAAAGGGATCCGTGAACCACGCCGCCCCTGCAATCCCCTTGCCCGGTGAAACCGGAAGCGAAATTGCATCGCCTCGTCACTGGCGGCTGCCTTCTACTCTCTTCTACGTGGAACAACCGAAAACGTTACATTTTAATTACTTCCCATTTCGTGTTTACCTCCGTTGTGTAGCCCACTTGTACGTGTAGATCAACTTAACACCAGAACTACCAAAGCAGTCAAAATGACTGGTTAGTATAATCTTATAATGGCGATTAAAATTTAACAACACTTTCCTTAGATTTTTCACAGCTTTCATTGCAATATAAAAATGAAGAAAATAGTGAATTTCTGAATTTAAATATTTTCAGAAGTTTGTCATGTTTATCGATCCGATAGAAATAGGTATACGTTTATCGTCGGTAGTTCTAGTGTTAATTGACTGTACTTTTTACCCTCTTCTTTCGAGGACGACGACGTTCCTTTTTGAATATCGTGTATTTTATTTTGTCGCTCGGAATTGTATGTACATATATGTATGCGGGATTCTCAAGACTGATTTGTAACCCTTATTTTTCTTTGTCCGTAGATGGAAGACGAGGGCAACCACGGCAACGACGATACCAGATGCTTCATACTGTCGACGCTCGCCGCGCTACAGTGGTCAAGAGTGTCCTGCGTGCTATGCCGCGCTCCGATGCTGGTCTTCGACAGGTATCCGTTGGTCGATGGAACGTTCTTCCTGTCACCGAGACAACATTCTCCCGCCTGTGCCGAGGTAAGTCCGATTAGCCGAGTTTTTGTTACGGTATTTATATTCAGAGTTGCCTTATTAATTCATGCATTCAGGACAGCAATATGAAATTTACGAAACGTTACTTTTCTTATCTGGTAAATGTAAAGTAGGTGTTTTTTTTAATAAGAAAATGATAAAATGATTCTGTAACCCACCCTCACTCTGTGTGACCCTGACAGTCATGAACGTGTTAACCCTTTGCATTGTCAGTTAATATATAATGCCTAGACCCTTAAATCGTTATTTCAAACTCATTAGACCGATACATGTTGTTGTATCTTGTGATTTTGAAGTCGAAAATATCGATACTAAACTGATTTATTTTTTTCATTTTTTTTCTATTTATTTATGTTTGGAAGGGAATACTTGTATTTTTCAACTGAAAACGTAGACATCTACTTCTTAGGACACACAATTACACTAGACGTTAAAGTGTTATTTCGAGACATATGTATACCCACAATATATACACAAGTTCTCGCGAAACTATTTAGCATCAGATTAGGAAACCAAAAGAAATTTCTTATCTAATATATTAACATTCGTACGGTTCTACATCATAAATATCTCGTGACTTGTGGCGACGTCTTTGAACCCTAAACAGTGTGTACAAGTCTCTCAGCGATTTCGGGGGTAATTGTTACCACTCGTCGTCCAGACCTTCTGAAACCAGAGTTAAAATCCACGATTTCTATTCTTACTTCTTTGGTGGAAGAATATATGTGATATATCGTGGAAACTGGGCGATAAATCTAAATCGATGTTGCCGGTGGTCATTGTTCCAGGTGAAGGTCGAAGGTCGCACGCAATTCCTGTCGGCGGTGTGCATGAGCTGCCTCGAAGGCAGCGGTGGGCAGCCTGTGCGTTGTCGTTGCTGTACTCAGCCGTGGGACGGCTCTAGCTTAGTCCTTGGAACGATGTACAGCTACGATATCTTCGCTGCTATGCCCTGTTGCACCGAGCGGCTCAAGGTGAGTCTCGAATATTCGCGTCCTTACAATACCAATTATCGTCCGAGCCTCGTCGACGATGACGTTCTGACCTCCTTTGCACGTGTCACCCTCTGCCTTCAACGAAATATACAAATTAATTAGAAACCGATCGGCAGTAATTGTCGACGTAGACAATTGCTAGTTCCCAAACACCGAAAGACTGAGAAACGGAAAATTTGCAATTAGCGTAGCTGAATACAGGTACTTGCGGGGGGGGGGGGTTATCGCGGATTGTCAATTAAAATATAGATTACTAGAAATCATTTCAGCGTTTCACCAGCGCCATAGTACACTAATGTCCGCTTAGATCATCGCCATTCAACCGGACAAAAATAAAGATACTCACGTTAGGTGGGACACCCTGTACAAACAACAATATTAGCGTGATTTTCTGATTTCAAGTTTATGACTCGCTTTCGAAACACTTCCGTCACGCCTGTTTCAGTACAGACTCCTCTCGATTATCGTCTGGCTTGTTCTACACGATTATTGTCCAGGCGTTATCCCCACCACTGGAGAGGGGTGGGGAGAACCTGTCAAGTGCATACTTTGTTGCCCTCGGCCTTAGTTTTCGAAGCTCAGGTCTCGGACAAAAAACCAATTTACGAGGGTCTGAAGCATTTCTCCCTACAAGATTATTGTCCTGGCGCGGACTCGAGTTCGGGACAATAATCGAGAGGAGACTGTAAATTAATTTCCAGCGCAATGTTCGTATCAATCACCCTCGAGTACCGGTATCCTGACAGGGCTTCGCCTCGCGAACGCGTTTTATTTTATATACAAAGAAATCATCTCAACGGTGTGTGTCAAGATTGAAGATGAACATCTTTGTAAAAATCCTCTCCTATCGATTCTGTTACAGTGCAACAGCTGCCAGAAGCCGCTGATCTATCCGCATCAACGGCTGAACTTCTACTCGGACTACAGCCGCGTATTCGCCTGTCCTCATTGCCGAGCGGTCGACGCCCACTTTGTGAAGCCGCTCTCGGTCTGCTTCACCCGCGAGCAGTTTCAGCTGTACAGCCAGTGGCCGTAACCATTAGAGAACTTAGCTAACCGGCGTCTAAACACCGCGACTGACCCGTGTCCCCTCTTTTTCGACCCGCTGATCTCCCTGCTCCGGGCGACCTTGCTCTAGATCCTCCGAACCACAGCAGAGTTTTCGCTGGACCCGTTTTATTTTATATATATTTCTCTCTTCGGCTCCATATCCGTGGAACACGCGTGTACGATCATCGTCATCGTGGGAAGAAACACATATACACAACAAATATAAACACAAGGAAAGAAAAACAAAAGATTCAAGCAAAATCTCGAACGCGCACACACACGACGC